GCGAGCTGGGCCTGGCGCGGGAGCACGGTCGCGGCTGCGGCGAGCTGCGCCCGGCGAGGAAGAATGGCGGCTGCGGAGAGCTGGGCCCGGCGCGGGAGCACGGCCGCCGCTGCGGCGAGCTGCGCCCGGCGAGGAAGAACGGCGGCGGCTGCGGAGACCCGGGCCCGGCGCGGGAGCACGGCCGCGGCTGCGGCGAGCTGCGCCCGGCGAGGAAGAACGGCGGCGGCTGCGGAGAGCCGGGCCCGGCGCGGGAGCACGGCCGCGGCTGCGGCGAGCTGCGCCCGGCGAGGAAGAACGGCGGCGGCTGCGAAGAGCCGGGCCCGGAGCGGAAGCCCGGCCGCGTATGCGGCTGCGGCTGCGGAGAGCTGGGCCCGACACAGGCACATGGCGGCGACGGAGAGCAGGGCCTGGCGCGGATTCACGGCGACGCTGGAGAGCAGGGCCTGGCGCAGGTGCACCACGGCGACGAGCAGGGCCTGGTGCAGATGCACGGCTGCAAAGAGCAGAGCCCAACCCGGAAGCATGGCCACGGAAGGCGGTGCCTGGCGGGGTGGCACGGCCATTAAGGGCAGGGCCTGGCCTGGCCACTTGACTGCGGAGGACTGGGCCTAGTGCCCGGGCCTGACTGCGGAGGACTGGGCCTGATGCCCGGGCCTGACTGCGGAGGACTGGGCCTGGCTGGGATGCGTGACCCGATGGAGAAGCCCGAGAACGGCGGCGGTTGCTGGGCTGAGACCCCGGAGAAGATGGCGGCAAGGGCACGGGGCACTGAGCTGTAGGAAGCGCAAGAAACGGATAGCGCCGCCCTGGAGGCTTCTGAGCCTGGGAAGCCTCCTCGCGGCCGGGCTGCTTCCTCCCACGGCCCTTCCCCGGTCTCGCGGTCAGGGTCGGAGGCCCGCTGGCGGGACCAACTCCCCTCATGGCTTGCACCATGGCGGCCACGCCGCCCGCGTGTGAGGCCTGGAGACCTAGGCCCGCCCCGGGCACCACCCACCTCAGCTCGGCGTGGGGACTGCAGCCGCCCTGGAGGTCAGCACACTCCCTCTCCGGCACACAGCCCATGGAGGGCAGCTCCGGGCCCTCGCCATTGATCAAAATGGCGCCGGCGGCAGCCAGGGCAAAGGCAGAGGAACCTGCCGTGCCACTGTGTGGGGCGCCACCACCCGAGGGAGAAAGGCCGCTCGAGACCGAGGGGACCAAGGGACTGGGATCGGGGTTGCCGTCCCCACGGGCGTCGCCGGGGGCAGGGGCAACCTCGTTCTTCGGCCCTGTGGGCACCTCACCCTGCTCTTGCATCTGCGCCTTCTGGTCGGACGACGGAGTGGACATAACGCCAGATTCTCTCTCAGAGAAGCGAGAGCGTGGCCGAAGACGCCGCCTGGGTAGAGCTCCGGGAGGAGTGAGGAGGATGGGCGTGTCCTGGTCAGATCATCACTTCTGATTGGTTGGCTTGTTGTCACGTGACTCTCGTCTTAAAGGGAGCGAGCCAACCTAGCTCTGGCGCCAAACCAGTGTGCTCCCCCCGGTCTACGATGTGAATTCCCCATCCATACCGGGGTCCCTATGAGTGTGTGTGTGTGTGTGCGCGCACGCTTCGAGGGAAGGGGCGGGGGCAGTGATACTGTCTGTATAAACAGTTTGAGTCACCCCAAATCAGGTTAGCTTGTCAGCACCACTCTGGTGGTGAAACTTTCAAGCAGTGGCTTGAAAGAAATACCACACTGGCCAACAAGAGATACCCCTGGGGCGCCTGGGTGGCTCAGTCGTTAAGCGTCTGCTTTCGGCTCAGGTCGTGATCCCAGGGTCCTGGGATCGAGCCCCACAGCACGCCCCACATCACACCCCCTGCTCCGCAGGAGGCCTGCTTCTCCCTCTGCCACACCCCCCTGCTTGTGTTCCCTCTCTCGCTGTGTCTCTCTGTCAAATAAATAAATAAAATCTTTAAAAAAAAAAAGAGATACCCCTAAGCTGGGCTTCCCTCCTGGAATCCCATCAGGACACTGGGCCCATGTCTGACTCCAGAAGCGACAGTCCCAGAACTCCTCCCTGCATCTGGATGACCCTACACTGGAGTCTTGAAAGCAGCCTGAAATCAAGAAAATGGATGGGGCCCTCGCTATCTTGACTCGGGATGTTCAGCACTACTGCCATGCATCAGAGGGGATTTTGAAGTAACATCCTTCCCCCTGCCTTATCTCCTGAGGCATGGGCTGGAGTTACCCGGAATTAGGATAACACTGTCCTTAAAAATACATCATCATTTGTATGGGCTGCATAGTAATCCACCATAATTTATTTGACCCAGTCTCCATTCTTGGCCATAGTTCTCTATTATGCTGTGATGCACAGACATAAAGTTTAATATTTTGACACTAGTTTAGTCATTATTACAAAAGTCATTATTACTGCATTCTCAGAACCCAAAACAGAAAAGCAAATAGAACCTAACCTAGGAAAACTAGAACCTAAATTCCCACATGCCCCTGGGGCAAATATTAGAAATGCTTAATTATTTTTTGTAGAATGGCCATTCTTAACTAATTCATAGTTCTTTTGTTTCATAAAATGGAATTATGCATACATACTATTTTGTAACCTGTTTTTGGGGTCTAGAAAACACACTTCCCATATCAAATATGTTTCCACAAGGCCAGTATAACTACAGAGTATTACTTTTATGGAGGAAGCTTACATTTTCAAACATTGCTGTATTGATCAACACATTTCCAACTTTTTATTCTTTATAAACACATCAATGTGAGACCCTTTTTGCTAAAAATTATTCATATCCTCACTGTGGATAAATTCCTAGAAAATTCTTGATACAGGCCATGCACATCTGTGATTCTTTGATAAAAATATTGGTAACTGGTTCTTCTGAAAGTTGCTGTTATAGCAATTTTGGCAGAATGGAATGGGATACTTGGGTGGATGAGTAAATGGACTGAAACACAATTCAAAAATAGAATGGAATGGTATTTGGAATGTTAAATAATATGGAATGGAAAATGGACTTGAAAGGGAATGCAGAATGGGATGAAGTGGAGATTGATTGCAGTGGAGGTGAAATCGGAAATTGAATGGGATGGAAATTGAATGAAATATAATGGGAAAAAGGAATGGAATGTACAATAGAAATAACTAATCACATATGGAATAAAAGAAAAATACATTACATGATAAATGGAATGGAGTATCCTGTGAAATAAAATAGTAAATAGAAGGAAATTGAAGTTGAAATAGGAAAAACTAAAATGGAATAAAATATGCAATGGCCTGAAATAAATGGACTATGAAATACACACTACAAATTTTAAAATACCATTGAAAGACGGAATGAAATTGGAAATGAAGTACAGAATACAAGAATATGAAGGATGGAATGGGAATTGAACAAAAACAATGTGGAAAATGAAATAGTGATGAAGTACAGGATGGATTTAAATGAAGAATAAATGAATGTGTTCTGGTCATCTACCATTGTATAGTGTGGAGCAACATCCATTTAATTATGTTCATGGATTTTATAAAGCTGGAATTCAGAAGGGGTAGAGCAGGAATGGCTTGTTTTTGTTCTACAATGTCATTGTCTGAGGCCTCAGTTGGGAAGACTTGAATGCCTGAGATTATAAGGGAAGGACAGCAATCAGTGATGACTCCTAGATTTTGGCCACAGTATCTGGGCAGACATTGGTGCTACTTCCTAAAAAGGGAAGGCTTGCAGACTGGGGACACAGTGGGAACTGGTGATCCTGTTCTGACCAGGTTGGCCACTATACCCTCTGTACTTGTCCTAGTCATTAGGGTTTGAACCCCAACTTATCTCAAAGCCATTCTCTTGGGGCACCTGGGTGGCTCAGTTGTTAAGCATCTGCCTTTGGCTCAGGTCATGATCACAGGACCCTGGGATCGAGCCCCATATTGGGCTCCCTGCTCCACAGGAGCTTACTTCTCCCTCTCCTGCTGCTCTGCCTGCTTGTGCTCTCTCTCTCACTCTCTGTGTCAGATGAATAAATAAAATCTTTTTAAAAAAAAAAACCCATTCTCTTAATTCTATAGGTCACCTTTCACCAGTTTCATGGATCCAGTTTCCTTTTGGGAGTCATTTCAATTTACTCTCTGAGTTATTTCCTTTCCTCCTTTCTGGAATCTCAGGGCCTTAGCATGATCCTTAACTGTTTTTTTTCAAGTGTTTATCTATCTATCTATCTATCTATTTATTTATTTATTTGAAAGAGAGAGAAAAAGAGCAGGAGAGGGAGAAGCAGACTCCCCACTGAGCAGGGATCTCGATGTGGGACTCAATCCCAGGACCCCAGGATCAGGACCTGAGCCAAAGGCAGACTCTTAATGACTGAGCCACCCAGGCATCCAGTCATGATCCTTAACTTAGTAATAACTAAAATGTTCCCATCTATCCTTGTTCTCTTTAAAGGAGATATATATATATATATATATATATATATATATATATATAGTATACATAAAAATATATATAAAGGAGTCATATATAACAGACATCTATAATGGATATGTATTATATATATAGCATTTAGATATATAATATATAAACTTTACATAACATACATCTACTGTATATCTCTATTATATATGATATATGTATGATTAATGTGTATATAATGGACACATATATAATCTTCTCTAAAGAGCTCAAAGTTTATGCTAAGGAAGTTCCTAAGTTCCCTTCTTTAACCTCACTGGTGTGTCTTCAGTGCCTTCTCCTTTTTCTTTCACTGTGCTCCTGTTTAGAGATAGTGTATGTATATGTATGTGCTCATAGAAAAAATATCTGGAAGGATGAGTTTTATTCTCTCATACTTTATCTTCTGAATGTTTCCAATGAGCATACATAACTCTTATACTCGGAAAAGTGTACAGCTATTTGCACTTTTAAAACAGTTTTAATGTTGGGGCACCTGGGTAGCTCAGTCGTTAAGCGTCTGCCCTCGGCTCAGGTCATGATCCCAGGGTCCTGGGATCGAGCCCTGCATTGGGCTCCCTGCTCAGTGGGAAGCCTGCTTCTCCCTCTCCCAGTCCCCTGCTTGTGTTCCCTCACTCGCTGTGTCTCTCTCTCTCAAATAAATTTAAAAAATCTTTAAAAAAAAAAACAATTTTAATGCTTAATTAGGTTTTAAGCTATTTTTTTTTTAAAAAGGCTATCTTTTATACTACTGGATGGGGTTATAAATTCATAGCATTTTGCCTGATGGAAAGGTTGATGATACATATAAAAAGTCTTAGGGGTGCCTGGATGACTCAGTTGGTTAAGTGACTGAGTCTTGATTTCAGCTCAGTTCATGATCTCAGGGTTATGGGATCGAGCCCCACATTGGGCTCCACACTCAGCAGAGTTTGCTTGAGATCCTCTCTCATCCCCTCTGGCCCACCCCTTCCCCTGCACTCACTCTCTCTCTCTCTCTCTAAAAAAAGAAAAAACAACAACACCCCCCAAAAAAACAAAAAAAAACTTAAAAAAAGAATTAAAAGTCTTAAACATGCCCATTTGATGCTGCAATTTCTCTTCTGCAGATTAATTCTAAAGAAATACTCATATACTCACAATGTTATATGCTCGAGATGATTGTTATAGTGTCATTTATTTTAAATAATCTGAAACAATCTCACTTTCCAATAGGATATTGAATGTCCATAGAATAAACATGCAGCTTTTACAGGATGTTTTTCAAAAAAATTTTAATACCATGGGAAAATATCTATGATGTATAAAAAGGACATGATGTACTCTGCTGATCTATATTTACATCTGTGTATTTTTATATCTTTCTAGCTCTCTACATATATTAGAATTTCATTCACTATAGTGCAGTTGTTCTCAACCAGGGGCATTTTGCCCCTTGGGGGGAATTTTGAAAATGTCAAGGAGAGGGAGAGAGGGAGAGGTGCTACTGGCATCTAGTATGCAGAGGCCAGGGATACTCTCAATTACTTCAATGTATAGGAAAGCCTCTGACAACATGCAATTATCTGACACAAAATGCCAAAGCTGTCAAGTTTGACAAAGTCTGCTGCAGGGCATTTAGATAACTCAGAAAAGTTCAAGACAAAATTTAAATCACAATCAATCCTTCCAGTGATTTATAACTATTCTTAAAAGTTTGATATATGTAGGTGCTAAATTTTCTATGATGATCTTGTGCTTTTTAAACAGCAAAAGGGATGCTTTTTGAAATTAATTCATTTAAAAAATTCAATATCTATAGATGTTTTTCACATGAAATATTCTAGTTATTGCTTAAGAAATTATATAACTTAAGAATTTTAATTTCAACCCATTTACATGGAGGAAT